CATCCTCGATCTCTTCTGCCCTTTGCAGCTAACCTCCTCAAAAAGGCTATTTACAATAGGTGCTTCTACTTTCTCTCTTCTCACTCTCTTAACTTATTAAAATCCAGCTTCCAACCTTATCATTCCAGTGACACTTCTCTCTCCAAAGTTACCAATGATCTCTTAGTTGCCAAATCCAGTGGCCTTTTCTCAATCCTCCTTCTCCTTGACCTCTCTGTAGCCTTTGACACTGCGGATCACTCTCTCCTTGAAGCTCTCTTCTCTCTAGGTTTTCAGAGTATCCCTCTCCCCTGATTCTCCTCCCACCTCTCTGACTGCTCCTTCTTAGTTTCTTTTGTTGGATTCTTCTCCAGATTAGGGCCTGGGCCTCTTCTCTTTTCACTCTATACTACTTCACCTGGTGATCTCATCAACTGCCATGGTGATTCTTACATCTACCCTTCCTGCTCCAAACTCTCAGCTGACTTCCAATTTCGCATCTCTAATTGCCTTTTAAAAATCTCAAATTGGATGTCCAGTGGACATCTTAAACACAATATGTCCAAAACTGAACTCATTTTATTTCCCCTTAAACTCCCCACTCTCATCCCTCCTACCCTCCCTATTACTGTCGAAGATACCACCATCCTCCCAGTCCCTCAGGCTCCCAGCCTAGGAGTCATGCTGGACTCCCCACTCTCTCTTACCCTCTAAGTCCAAGCTGTTGCCAAGGCCTGTTGCCCCTGTTGATTTCATCTTTGCAATATGTCTCAAAATACTCCCTCTTCTCTCCCCTGACACTGTCTCCACTCTGGTGCAGACCCTTATCCCCTCATGCCTGATTATTGCAATATCTTTCTAGGGGGTCAACCTGCCTCAAGTCTCTCACCAACCCAAACCATCCTCTAGTCAACTACAAAAGTGATTTTCATAAAGCACAGGTCTAATTAAATCACTCTTCCTGCTCAATAAATTCCAGTGTCTCCCTATTACCTCCAGGATCAAATACAAAATGCTCTGTTCAGCTTTCAAAGCCCCTCCTAACCTAGCCCCCTCCTGCCTTTCCAGTCTTCTTACATCTTATTCCCTAAGATCTCATGCTCTTTGAGCCAGTGACACTGGCCTATTGGCTGTTCCACAAATAAGACACTCCATCTCTTTACTCTAGATGTTTTCTCTGGCTGTCCTCCATGCCCGGAATGCTCTCTCTCCTCAACTCCACCTATAGACTTCCCTGGCTTTCTTTAAGTCTCAATTAAAATCCTATCTATTGGAAGCCTTCCCCAACCCCTAATAATTCTAGTATCTTCCCTCTGGTAATTATTTCCAATTGTTCTGCACAGAGCTTGGCTTGTGTATATTTATTTGCATGTTGTCTCCCCCATTAAATTATATTCTTGAGGGCAGAGACTGCTTTTGTATATATATATATAATATATACATATACATACATACACATATACACACATATATCTATATATACACACATATCTCTGTACACACACATATATGATGCCATTTGGGGCCAGTAAAATCTATTTCTTACAAATTAAATATTCTTTCTTGACTTTTTCATTGTCCAAAATTATAACATAGCACTGTCATGGTCATAGATCAAAGTGATCTGGACCACACTCAATCTAGGACTCTGTATGTGGGATCAGTTTCAGGACAGCATGGTCCCTCCATCCTATCACTCCAACTTTTGCCATTGTTTCAGCACCAAGATGCCATCTAAGGAGCCAAACTTGAGTTCTAAGGATTCATTCCCTCTCTTGGCCTGTATCACTTCTTTAAGCCTTTCATTATATAGTTGTACCTACTACCAGTCATCCAGAGAAAACTGAGACAAAGAGGATTGGGTTTAAAACTAATATCCCCAAAACTGATGACACCACTTTCTGGTGGAGTCCCCAGATCCAGCTTCATTTCCATGTGACAAAGATCCATTACCCTTGCATGGTGGTAGTGATGATGATGATGATGATGATGATGATGATGATGATGATGATGATGACGACGACGATGATGACAATGACCAAGAATGAGTGAGAAAATTCAAAGTCTTTCCCAGCCAAAGTAATGACCAAGGATGTGTTCATGGTCAGAGGAGAGCCCAGAGTAGCTCCTCTAGCACCAACAGCATGATGCAAGGATGACATAAACCACAAGAGCTCCAGATGTAGTGTGATGGTAAAGGAGTACAAGCTTTTGCCTACCAACCTTACTACAGGATATTCAGTGTGAAACATTATGGGGGATTTTGAGGGCGGCAGCCCTGAAGGATCACAAAAAAATGAACCCTTTAAGTCTTGGCTAGAGCATGTTGCAGATGTGATACATGTGTGGCAGAGTACCAAGGCAGAGAAATCTGGGGCAATTATTAGATCTGGTTAGGATGTTGCATAAGCGCTGAAAATGCAATGCTCTGAGGTTATGGTATTTTTTCTGGTGCTGGGCCATCTCCAGCTGTCCTGATCTATATCTGGCCACTGGACCCAGATGGCTCTGGAGGAGAGTGAGGCTGGTGACTTTGCACAGCCTCCCTCACTGTAATCCAATTCATTTGCAAGTTGTGGCATCATTTTCCTGATGTCATGGTCCTCTTTGAGAATGAAGGACAAACCACAATTTTTGTTGTAAAACCCTGCTTTTTAATCACAGTCCAAAGGAGAAGGGAAAAAATATGTTTTCCAATGGATTCTAGCTGTAAGTCCTAGAACATCCAAACTGGGGCTCCTGAATGATTCGCCACAGTGTAATAACCATAGAACCCATATTTCTGCCCAAGATTTTAGGTAGTCTATAGGTCTGCAACGCAACCCTCCACACATGTATTGGTCATACTAGTCAGCCAGAGAACACAATGAGTTCATAGCAAATACATTAATGAAAAAGCACAGCAAGAAATGTAGCAATGGAACATTCCCACTATAAACTCCCACAAATAGACGTTATAATGGGATCTGTACTCACCCTCAGGGATCACACATGCAAAGAACATTGTGGCCAGGGCACATGCATGGAAGGACAAGTCATACCTCTGATACTGCAGGGCCACTTCTGTTTCCTGGTGTTATTATGGGACAGTTCTCTTTGAATTTGCTCCCTACAGGTTATACTGTTCAAGACTGAGTCCACACTTAGGCACCACATAGTGTCTTTACTGCTCCCTGCTGGGTCTTGCATCTCTGTAACACCCTATTTCTCTCTTGGACTTTTATGCTTTCTGCTGGGTATAATCACTCTGGTGGTCTTCTATTTACTGCTGGACATTACTCCCTGCTACCAGCTTCTGGGCTTCATCTCTTCAAGGTGCCCTACCAGCTATCTTCTGCCTGCTAGATTGTAGTGACTAGAAAGACTCTTCATCAAGGCAGGCTGAGAGCTCTTTAGTAATAGTCAGAGATTACATGCTTCCACACCTAGCTAATGAAAGCTAGACAAAGTGCCCCCAAAATAAGATGAAGTCTTTTATAATGGCAAGATCTATGTCTTATAATGGCAAGATCTATCTTTTTTAATGCAAGAATTGCTTTAACAACTGAACAAAGCAAAAATTATAACTTTATTCATAACCATTTCATACAATAGGAACACTGGCATTCAGTTCTGCTGAAGTTGTCAGGAGTAGTCCATGAGAACTTATTTTAAGATGCATACCCCTGACCTAGAAGGACATGAACAAATGAAAAGAGGTAGAAAATGGAATTCCATGTTTAGGAAGTAGTAAATAAGACAATTTTGCTGTAATAGAATATGTGCAAAGAGGAATAATGTGAAATCATTCTGTAAAGATAGGTTGGAATCAGATTGTAAAAGACCTTAAATACCAAATTGGAGGGGAGGAGGGTTATGTTTTACCCTTGAGGCAAGAGGGAGCCATTTAAGCTTCTGGAGCAGGGGAGTGACATAGTCAGACCTGTGCCGGAGTGATCTCCTTCTGCTTTGGCTGAAATTGGATAACCAACTCCCTGTAGACTCCACGGCCATGCCTAGTTTCCTATAAGCCCTTTCCCATTTCTCTGGGCTCACTAGTGATACACATTTACTGGTGTTTTCTTCCTTACATTTCCCCCTCCTCTCTGTAACCTGCTGGTTGGAAAGCCTCCGTACTTTGAGGGTACCTAGGCATGGTCTCTTCCAAATCACCAGACAAGGCATTCACTTGGGAGCTGATAAACCTCTCGCTTTTCATAAACTAAAATATACTCTTTAAGGTCAATAAGAAAGCTGGTAGCAGAGCAAGGGCTGAGAATGAGCAATCTATCTCAGGAGAACACACTAGACCGCTCAGGGTACCAAGCATAAGAGTCTGCAGAGAGGAGGCAGTACAATGAATTGAAAAGAACACAGATGTGGAGTCAGAGATGGTGGGTTTGAATTCTGGCTCTGAACACCTGCCATTGGGCAAATCATTTTACCTCCAAGACACACTTTCCTCCTCTGTTGACTTAGATAACCTTAAGTTCCCTTTGAGCTCTAACTACTATGATTTCCAGCTTCCAACCGTATCCAACACTTTCCAAATTCTCCTGCATCTATTGCTGCACTTAATATGACCGTATGCCTATCAGAGCCATAACTAGGATGTGGTGACTGGGGCTTGGTCATGAGACACTGAAATTTAGAGGGTGCAAAGTGTAGTATCATAGAATCTAAAGCTGGAAGAGACCTCAGAGGCCATCTAGTTCAACCTCCTCTTTTGACAGAGGAGGAAACTGAGACCCAGAAGGCCGAGAATTTTTATGATAGCAACGAATTCCCCACAGTGATCAATTGAATTTGTCTTAATTTTGTGTCTTATTTTCACCTCTCAAAGTACAAGGTTGCCTTAAAGGTGAGTTTCTTTCTGTTAGCCCCATTACCAGTTATGGCTCTATTCCCTATGCTCTTGGCATTTTTTGTCTTAGGTGTATGACTCATACCCTTGAGATATCCCCTCCCTACACTCCCTTGGCTTCTATGTTCCCTGCTCTTTAAGCATCCTCAACATCTTCCCCAACTGAGCTTCCCCTCACCGTCTCATGCTTCATCTTGTTTGGCCAGACTTCTCGCTTGACCAGCCAGTTGCTAAGCAACAGCAATATAACCAGGAGCAGGAGCAGGATCGGCTTGTAGCTAAGCAGCCAGTTGATGACCGTCCACATGGAGTTTGACATATCCATCATTGCCTATAGACTCCCTAACAGATGAGAGAAGCATGCTCTGCAGGAAGGCTCTCTGGCTGCCCATCTCCACCCCCTGTTCTTCACTCACTCCCAGCCCCCTAACAAAGCTTCTGTGACATGGGCTGGGCTGGGCCACACCCCCTCCTAGATCATACACAGTACCCCTCCTCACCTCTGCCTCCTGATTTCCCTGGCTTCCTTCAAGTGCCAGCTAAAATCCTACCTTCGATAGGAAGCCTTTCCTCAACCTCCCTAATTTTACTGTTTTCTGTCTATGGTTTAATTGCTCCTTATCCTGTATATAGCTTGGTTGTACATGGCTGTTTACATGTTGTCTGCCCCTTAAGACTAGGAGCTTCTTGAAACCAGGGACGTCTTTGCCTTTCTGTGTATCCCCGGTGCTTAGCACAGTGCCTGGTACGTAGTAGGTGCTTAATAAATGTTTATTGACTGACCTGCTTCATTAGATTATAAATTCCTTGACAAGGTCTTTGCTATAGGTACATTTGCTTCCCTGGTGTCCACTCTTACATAAAGCAGGTGTTTTGTTGAATAACTGAATTCTCCCTTCATACTGTCCTTTTTCAGAATTTCCTGCTAGCATTCATTACACATTTACTAATTGTGTGCAGCACTGTGCTTGGTACCTGGAGGAGGGGAGGTGAAATCATATGGTTTAATCCAGATCTAATCCTTGCTGTCATGGAGCTCAGCATCCAGGAAGGATAAGCTAGACATTGATGACTCTGATGCAACATATTACCCATTACATGCTGTGGTGGAAAAAACAAATCCTCTTAGCCAAATGCGTCAAAGACGCAGTTTTCTTAATAGACAAAGAATGTCTGAGAAGCAAGATTTCTCCTACCAACTCAGAAAAGACCTCCTCCTTCAGCAGTTTCCAACTGCTTTGTAATAATTTCATAACAATTTTGAAACAAAAGAAATTTCAGAGTAAGAAGAAACAAAAGTCCTTGGTTTCACTTAGGGTCTTTAGGATTACTGAATGAAGAAATCATTGTTAGTATTGGAACTCATCCTAAGAAAAGAGTGAGTCTTCTTAAAACTGCTCCCTCTACGAACTCTCTTTTTGAGCTCCAAATTCTCTCCTTTCTTCCTTTGAGAAGGCAAGCATTTTGATATGGATTATACATGTGTAGTCATGCAAAACATTTCCATATTAGCCATGTTGCAAAAGAAAATGCAGGCCAAAAAAAGAAAATAAAGAAAGTTTTAAAAGTATGCTTTGATCTTCATTCAGACTTTATCATATAGCTTTTTTCATCATGAATCCTTTGGAATTGTCTTGGATCATTGTACTGCTGAGAGTAGTTAAGTCATTCACAGTTGATAATCATTACAATATAGCTGTTACTTTGTACAACGTTGTCCTGGTTCTGCTCATTTCACTTTGCATCAGTTCACGTAAATCTTCCCAGGTTTTTCTGAGAGTATCCTGCTCATCATTTTTTATAGCACAATAGTATTCCATCATAATCATATGCTACAACTTTTTCAGCCATTCCCCAATTGATAGACATCCCCTCAATTTCCAATTCTTTGCTGCCACAAAAAAAGAACTAATATAAATATTTTTTGTCCATAGAGGTCCTTTCCTTTTTCTTTAATTTTTTTTGAAGCACAGACCTAGTGGTATTGCTGGGTGAAAAGGTATTCACAGTTTTACAGCTCTTCAGGCATAGTTCCAAATTGCTCTCCAGAATAGTTAGATGAGTTCACAACTCCACCAACAGCGCATTAATGTCCCATTTTTTCATATCCCCTCCAGCATGTCATTTTCCTTTTCTGTCATATTAGCTAAACTGATAGGTGCAAGGTGGTACTTCAGAGTTGTTTTGATTTGCATCTCTCTAATAAATAGTGATGTAGAATTTTTTTTCATAGGACTATAGATAGTTCTAATTTATTCTTCTGAAAACTACCTGTTCATATCCTTTGACCAGTTATCAATTGGGGAATGATGCATATTTTTATAAATTTAACTTAGTTCCCTCACTCTCTCTCTCTCTCTCTCTCTCTCTCTCCCTCTCTCTCTCTCTCTTTCTCTCTCTCTCCCTGTCCCTCTCTCTCTCTATATATATGTGTATGTGTGTGTGTGCGCGCGAGCACGTGTATGTGTGTGTATACACATATATATGCATGTATATATACATGTATGTATGTGTGTGTATGTATGTGTGTATGTGTATATATATGTATATATATACATACATATATATATATATATATATATATGCTTTTTGGTGAGGTAATCGGGGTTAAGTGACTTGCCTAGGGTCACACAGCTAGTAAGGGTCAAGGCCAGATTTGAACTCAGGTCCTCCTGACTTCAAGGTCAGAGCTCTATCCACTGCACCACCTAGTTGCCCCAGTTCTTTATGTATATGAGAAATTAGGCTTTTATCAGAGATAGCTGCAGTAAAATTTCCCCCCTAGTTACCTGCTTCCCTTCTAATCATGGCTACTTTGGTTTTGCTTGTGCAAAACCTTTTAAATATGACATAATCACATTACCCATTTTATATCATGCAATGTTCTCTTTCTCTTGTTTGGTCAGAACTCTCTATTTTGATTGTGGTAAAAGAATGTAATAGAATGTTATTGTACTGGAAAGAAAGAATGTATATACTGAAGCATGGGGAAGCTTGGCGTACTTTGATGAGACAAAAAAAAAAAAAGGTCAACCATTTTGGAAGATAATTCAGATCTATACCTAGGGATGTTATGAAGCTCACACAAGATAATGGATATAAAACACTCTGCAAAGCTTAATGTGCTATATAAATGCCAATTATTATTACTATTATGTAGTAGTAGCAGTAGAAGAAGAAGTAGTAGTACTAGTAGTAGTACTAGTAGTGGTAGTAATAATTTATAGTCACCAGGCCTCTAGTCTGGTGATAATTTCATTCTCTGAGCCTTCTTCTATACTCCTATTGTGCTTAAGCCCTGTCTCTAGATCAGTACAGAGGTATCCTGGTAAATGTTTAACAGGGCAAGGAGGAAATGTATGCACATATACTTCTTTTAAGTTTGATCTTTATTATCAGACAATCAACAAAGCAATACATTTAACCCTGATTTATAACATTGCATTGCAGAGGTGTGGAATGCTCATACTGAAAATATGATGATTGCTCTTACAAACTGATTAGAGCTGACTCTAACACACATCCCTGACTATACAGTTTAATATAGTGATACCACTCTTAGGTACATATCCCAAATAGATCTGTAAAAAAATATTCATATCAGTATTTTTTTTTTGGTTGTTGTGGCAAAGAAATCTGAACAAAGTGGGCTCCCATCAATTGGGTAATGTCTAAATAAATCATCATTGAATATGAATATAATAGAATATTATTGTGCTGCAAGAAATTCCAAGTGGGAGTCAGAGAAAACTAGGAAGACTTGTATGGACTGAGGCAGAGTAAAGTGAGCAAAATCGAGAGAACAATTTATACAAAGACTAAAATATTGTCAAGAAAAGCAATTTTCAAAGACTTAAGAGCAGTGATCAATAAAAGGACCAATCACTATTACAGAAGACTGATGACGGAACGTGCTACCCATCAATTGGCAAAGACAGAATGACTCAGAATGACACATATATTTTTAGAAATAGCCAATATGACGGTTTGTTTTACTTGACTATTCTTATTTGTTATTAGGAAGGACTTTTATTGGGGGGAAGGGAGAAGCCTATGGGGAAAGGAGGAAGCTGGGGATAGTGATCCCCACTCATCCCCTCCAAAAGAGTTTTAATGAAACATAAACACACACACACACACACACACACACACACACACACACACACATAAGTGGAAGAAGTCCAGAAGGGAACTCAGACAAACAGGGTAGTATTGCTACTAATATATTATATGTATTACATACTAGAAAAAAAAAAACCCAGTTAAACATAATAGATACACAGTTTCATATACAATCCTCTTTTTCTGTTCTTCTTTGTATATGAAAATGTTTGTGTTTGTTGATTTTGTGAAGTTCATAATAAAAAGAATAAAAGAAGAAGAAAACAAGGCAAAAATGATTGAACCAATTACCAGCAGTACCAGTTGCAGATAAGTGCACATGTCCTCCTAAAACCACTCAATTTCCATTGTCCTTTTTTGTCATCTTTGTCAATCTGATGGATAGGAAATATAACCTCGGAGTGGTTTTCATGTTCATTTCTCTTATTATTAATAATTTGGAGCATTTTTTAAAAATGTGGTTGCTGGTAGCTTGGATATCTATTTATCTATTGGGGAAGGGATTTTGTTCTTATACATTTGTGTCAATTTCCTATATATCTTCAGATGTTTATCAGAGAATAGATTCACTACAAAGGTTTCCCATCCCTCCCCCAACCCAGGAGACTTTCTCTTCTAATTCTAATCACATTGATTTTGTTTGTGCAAAACCTTTTCAACTTTATGAGTCAATCATGATGAAAAATGCTACTTACATCAAGAGACAGAACTGATGGAGTCTGAATGCAGATCAAAGCATACTATTTTTCACTTTTTTCATGTTTTTTTGGTTTGTTTCTTCTTTTACAACATGACTAATGTGGAAATATGTTTTACATGATTGTACATATGTAACTTATATCAGATTGCTTACTGTTTTAAGAAGAGGGGATGTGAGGCAGGAAGTGAGAAAATTTGGAACCCAAAATTTTTGAAATTAATGTTAAAAATGATCTTTATATGAAATTGGGAAAAATAAAATACTATTAAAATTTATGAGTCAATATTATCTATTTTATCTTTTATGAGCATCTCTTCCTCATTTAGTCAGGAATTTTCTCCATGGTTTTGAAAGATATCACCTTCTAATCTCCTCTGATTTGTTTATGACATGACTTTTTATATCTAGATTATATATCCATTTGGAACTTATTGTGGTATATGGTATGACATATTGGTCTAAACCTAATTTCTCTCAATTTTCTCATTTATTTTTTCCCAGTAATTCCTTGGGGTAAGCTTCAGTGGTTGATTTCCTTGGGTTTATCCAACATTATAGTACTATGTTCCATTTCTTTGTACT